CTTCTATTTCCCAGGAGGTGATGGGACCAGTGGCCATGATCTTAGTTTTTTTTGATGTTGAGTTTCAGGCCGTTTTTTGCACTCTCCTCTTTCACCCTCATTACAAGGTTCTTTAATTCCTCCTCACTTTCTGCCATCAGGAATAATAATTACATGCCTCCAAATCCATTCTGGTATATGGTGAGGTGACCCTTTTTCAAGATTTTCCACCTACCCAGCCAGCCTTAATATATGGAAAAGATGGGCTAAAAATATCACCGCTCCCTCCCCTAACTTAAATCCTGTATGCAACTTAAATCCTGTTTTCTTGCTATATAAAGTAAAATTGCTTTTGAGTAGAGCATGGTGTATTAGATCCCTTTCCGAGTTGGCTGGCAGATGGGGGGGCAGAGAAGCAGGGCACAAACGAGGGGAAAGGGCTGGATACTGCCCTAAACAAAACACGGAGGCAATTCTGCTCTGGTTCACCAAGTACGTACTGATTTTTTTTTAGGTGTCTGTATGTGTTTGTGTGCATGTGTGCAGAAGAATGTCAATTGGGAATATATACTGGGAAGTCATACCCTGCAATTCATACCACAGTTGCCACTGGGGTCCTAAAGATTTGGAATTTCATCTTATCTTCAGTGGCTTATTTCCGAAAGCTGGAGTCAGCAATCTAACAGCCTTAACGCCTGATATTAGTGGATGTTTGGAATGCTTTCCACACTTTTCCCTCCCACATATATATTTTAGAGCCTGTCTCTGAGTCTTCTTTCTAGCGACATTTCCAGTACAGACCAGCATCCCGTCTTCCTCCAGGTTTTCCGATCCCCTCTCTTGGAGAGGGAGAGGGAGAAGCGTCGACTTGGATCCGGAGAGAGCTGCCACAGCAATGGAAAATCCAGCTGGCTCACTCAGGCCTTTTGTTTACCAGGCTGTATCAGCAGCTGCTGCTGAGCAGAGCCGCATGGGGCTGGCTGGTCGTGTCAGGCTCGAAATCGAACAATCCAACTGGCTTTACGGTCAGGTTTCAGTCGCTTGCAGGGGCTGAAGCTGCTGCTGAGAGAAGCATCAACAGCAGGCTACATGCTCCCGCGGGGCTCAGGGAGCAGGAGAGCCTTCTGTCTGGGGTTTTTTTTTGGCACATACAGGCACGCCAGCAAGAGGAGGCTGGGTGATTATATTTATCGGCAAAGGAGAAAAAGGAGCAGCAGCTAGAGCCTTCTGTAGGACAGAGAATCCTAGAACAATTGAGTTGGAAGGGACTTATAAGGACATCGAGTCTACCCCCCCCCCCCGCTCATGGCAGGAATCTAAATCAAAGCACATCTGTTAGAAGGCTTTCTAATTTTCTCCTGAATGCCTCCAGTGCTGGAGTGCTCACCACTTCTTGAGGCAATTGGCTCATTGTCATACTGCTCTAACAGTTGAGAACTTTTTCCCGACATTCAGCTGAAATCTGGCTTCCTATAACTTGAGTCGTATTCAGCTTGTGATCTACAACAATTCCAAGATCCTTTTCACTCCTTTCCTTCCAGAAGGGGATACAGATGGGGACTGGGGTTGAGTGGAAAGCTGAGAAATCAATCTGTGTTGTTCACGGCATGCCCTCCGGTCTTTTCTCTACGAAACTATTCAGTTTGTCTCAACAGACAGACAGACAGACAGACAGACAGACAGACAGACAGACAGACAGACAGACAGACAGACAGACAGACAGACAGACAGACAGACAGACAGACAGACAGACAGACAGACAGACAGACAGACAGACAGACAGACAGACAGACAGACAGACAGACAGACAGACAGACAGACAGACAGACAGACAGACAGACAGACAGACAGACAGACAGACAGACAGACAGACAGACAGGATTCTATGGCATGGGACAGGGTTATGATTGAATATCGGCTGGCAAAAGTCATGCAGTCCCTGGACATTCTATGGCATGGGACAGCGGTTCTTCCCCAGCTTGAAAAGGGTGTTATTTCCTGAAAGCCTCAAGCAGTGATGTTTCTCCTTGATGGCAAGGTGCAAGCATACATGTTTTCAAAAGTAGGAGTGAACTTATGAGTCATTGCTGGTTTGGACCATGTGCAGAAAACTTCCATGTTTAAAGGCGGGGTGGGCTACAAACATTTGGAGAGAGAGGACTGGCCCCCGGATCTTGCCCACCCAAACACAGAGCAAATCAAACTGTTTAATACAGGGTTTCATACAAGTTAATGACATACAGAGGTTATGGGCTGCCTAGTGTGGTTCAGGAGATCAAGCGATTGCAAAAGTAGCCGCCCCAGTAAAACAGGCTGGGCAGGAAGTGAGAACCGTCTGCAATATACAGCAGGGTGGTGCTGGAAGAGAGTTGGTCAGAGGAAGGCTGGTGCTGAAGGCAAGGGAAGCAGAATTACTTTGGTCTGGGAAGCTGGGAGAAAAGAAAGAGAATTCCAGGTTGGCTACAGATCCCCATTCCATCACTCTGCAATTCCACAAAGGTACCGTCTTGTTAACAAATCCAAGCTCTGGAACACTGCGACTCATGAAGAAAAAGGTCTTCCTCCAGCTTTTTCCCCACCTTCACTTCGATTAATCTCTGATTTGCTCCAATCCAACCCTTCATTCACCCGGCTTCTCGGTCAGTGCCTGCCACAGCCCCCCACCACTTGTGCCCCCCCTGTGGTGTCACAGAAACTCAGCTAAGAGTTGAAATGCTTCAAATGCTCCCACTGTTAAATCCCCTGTAAATCTGCCAAGACAGAGAAGCCACTGCTCTCCCTACAATTGGAACAAGCAGCGACAAAACTTCACAAGGCGAACAGAAGGCAGGGATGAAAGTGGACTGTGAAATTTACATGGTGTTCCTCCAGCAAATGAACACAACCCAAATAATTGCTAGTACCTCACCTTTTGTAAGCTGGAGGAATTCAGCTGCGTCTTGTCGATTATCTTCACAGCCACCTGAAGGGAAGCACACGCAGAAAGATCGCATTAGGGTTGCTTGTTTACTTAAACAAAGCATAGTACCTACAGCTGATTTGGGAAAAGGTTTGTAAGCAAAGGTGGCACAGCTTGCTCCTGGCAGGTTAAACCGTAGCGGTCTCTTCAGCCACCTGTGCTTTCAGGAACTGCTTGCAAAAACAAAAGCAAGCACGAGAAACCAGCCCTCTCAGGCTGCTCATTCCTGGACACCCTGAGCCGAAAAGGGCCGACCGCTTCAACTGCCCCTTCAGCCCACTTCAGCCACCACCAGGGCCTGGCTGCTGCAACAGCATCAGTGAAGGAAGGAAGGGTGGTGAAGACAGGCCAGATCCAGTGGGCCAGAATCCTCCTGCCCATTTATATGGGAACAGGGAAATTGCGTAAGTCCTAGCAGCCAATTGGTACTCCTTGACAAGGTGCTTGCCGGTTGTTTTTCAGGGCAAGACCCTCCAACACAACTCATTAACAAACAACTATCTGCCACTAAAACTTACGTGATTTCCCTCGTGCAAGTGTAAATTCCCAGCAGGATTCTGGCCGCAAGCTATTTTGTTCATTTCTGTTCTGCTGCTCCCGTTCAGAACCTGTGTTGTCTCCAAGAAAGGGTGGGGCCACGTAGGAGCATTTAAGAGGCTTCATTATGGGACCATGAATTTCAATCCAGGTCTCTTCAAGCTCCTATCCAAATGCTCTAACCACTGCATCACCAAGACTTTACTGGGTACATTCTGGTATCACAAACGTAAGAACTGGAGCTGGACTCAAGCAAAAGCCTGCTTAGTCTAGTGTCCCATACAGTGGTGCCTTGCATAGCGATCGCCTCTGGTATCACAAACGTAAGAGCTGGTGCTGGACTCAACCAAAGGCCTGCTTAGTCTAGTGTCCCATACAGTGATGCCTCGCATAGTGATCACTCCGTATAGTGACGAAATCGCTTTGCGATGGACTTTTTGCCATCGCAAAAGCGATCGCTTTGCGATGGTCCCTATGGGGGAAATTCGTTTTGCGATGATCGCAGGGAAGCGATCATCGCAAAGCCCCCATTTTCGGCCAGCTGATCGGCGGTTTCAAAATGGCCGCCGGGTAAACAAAATGGCCGACCGCTGTTTTCAGGCACGGATGCCTTGCTTTAGAGGCACCAAAAATGGCGGCGCTATGGAGGATCTTCGCTTAAAGGTGAGTTTTTAGCCCATAGGAATGCATTGATCGCATTTTAATGCGTTTCTATGGGCTTTTTATTTTCGCTTAGCGATGCTATCGCTTAGCAGCTATTTTTTTCTGCACGGATTAACATCGCTAAGCGAGGCACCACTGTACTTCCCATAACAGCCATTTGTGACATTTAGTGTATTCTCTGGCCTATAAAAGAGGTTGATAGATAGCTTGTGGCTCATTTCCTGGAGGTCTCCCCAGATATGGTGCTGACAAGGCACTCCAAGAGATGCACTGCTTGGAGGGACATTCAAAGGCTCTGTGTTAGTATCATTTGTTAGCTCGCTGGCTGCAGAGCTCCTGTTCCCCAGACAGGCCATCACAGGGATGGCCATTCAGCAGACCTGGTGGGGATGGGATGGCTCTCAGCCTCCTAAACCCCATCTCATGTGTCATCAAATCTGGCTCAGATACCAAGGAGCATCCCCGCACATACAGGAAACACGGTTAGGCTCCAGAACCAGCTCTTGTGTCACCAGCGGAGGTTTGGGGACATCAGACAAACTGCACTAAACATGCAAGTATGATCTTTTCAGCTTGACAGGTATCAGCTTCTGGATTCTGCCAAATGCTGAGCTCTACGGACCTTCTGTCAGCCACCAAGGTGACCCCTATGTCTGCGAAACTGAAATGTCAGAGCAATGCCCTTGACAAACCTCTCTCTGTGTGTGCGTGTGTGTGTGTGAGAGAATCCTAGTGCACCCTAGGCATTTAATGAAGACAGGCTAAGATTCACAAGTCTCAAATAGAAGTGCAATTGGCTGGGTTTTTCTGTTTTAAAAAAACAAACTCATAGACTGCAACTTCTCCCAAAATAAAAACCACACGAGATGGAAGCAGGCCGGCTGTCGGTCCAGCCGACCAGAATACAGCTGGTAACAGCATCTCTCTCATCAAATGGCCGGGAAAAAAGAGTACAGCGGGTGAAGGCCTTGAACCGGCACCAGTGCTCCCATTTTACTGACTTAGAATAAGGAGGGGGTTGTTATATAACCTCCCCAAAACATGCATTATAAAGAAATTGAATCCTGCCGTATGGAAACCCTGAGCAGAGAGAGTGCTGCTAAGAATCAGTTAAAATGTTTTATGCAAAGCTAGCTGGATAGGCACGGCTTACATGAGAGGGGAAAAAAACACAACATTACGTTTTTAAATTTTTTGCTGAACTCTGGACTTCCTGTGACAAAAGCACAGTGTAGTAGGAAGGAGGAGGGATGTGAAGGGGGCATTTTAAATGCAAGAGGAACACACAACTACATAAATCACAGAAACAAAATTCTTTTGCAACCACTGCCTTTTGTGCTTTTAAAAACAGTATCTCCACAGACGCAGAGGATTAGAAACCTGGCCTTTAAGAAGATGGAAGTACCACATCTTCATCAAAATTTCAGCTCTTAATGAAACATGAACTTCATGGTTAGACATGCCTCATAGCAAGCCCTGGTTACCAACTAGTTCTCCTTGAGGGATGCCGTATTGGTTTATTTAAAATATTTTACCCCACCTTCCTTTTTAAAAAAGGACCCGAGGTGTCTAATATCATTGAAGACAATATTTTAAAAACTAAGAACAACATGTGTACAGATATTAAAAAAAGAATCGAACAAATGCCGCATTAAAAATGATGAACAAAATGAACCACATTCAAAGCAAGAAGGCACAGTGCTCCATTTAAAAAGCTCTCTGTCAGATACCGTATTTTTTGCTCCATAAGACACACCTTTCCATAAGACGCACCAATTTTTAAGGAGAAGAAAACAGGAAAATATAATCTGTTTTCTTCGTTCCATAAGACGCACAGACTTTCCACCCCCCTGTTTTGTGGGGGAAAAGTGTGTCTTATGGTGCGAAAAATACGGTAATTGCTAAAGGAAAGTCTTCCCAAAGCTAAATGCCTTTGCCTGTTTGCAGAGAAGGACAGCAAAGACGAGGCCAGCCTAGCCTCCCGTGGGAAGGAGTTCCAGAGCCTGGGAGCAGCCACAGAGAAGGCCCCTCTCCCGTGTTGCCACCCAAGGCTTATAAAGGTGCTGGGACCAAGAATACCTCCTCCCTTGGTGGAGATCAGGAATGGGGGGGTCTATCTAGCTCCTTCAACCGTCGGAGAAATTGAGAGAATAGGAAGGTCTTCTGCTGGAGGGCTCTACGTGCCCCCCAACACCCACATTTTGGTTCCTTATTGCGCCATGAAGTCTTAAACTAGTCTTCCCTCGCCTGGTATGTTCTAGATCCTAGAGACTACAGCTCACACCAGCTAAAGACCAAAATATCCAGAGGGCATTGGGTTGGGAAAGACCGCCTAAAGCTCAGAGACAACCATTAACTTGCAGCTCACAGTATGTGCGCAGAAGGAAATGGCCAAATCCTGAAATGGACAGGTATGACTACAGATTACTGGTAGGTACTGCTTGTTTTCAAAAAATTTCTGCACGTAAGAAGAAACCCAGGACAACACAGAGGAAAGCTTAACTCTCCAGTTTGTTATGCTATTTTTCTGCTTCCAAGTCGCCCTATCGGAGGCCATAAGGGCAGCTTCAAAAAGGGATATCTTTCATCTGAAATAGTATCCTCCACTCCAGCACCCTCACGACTCTGCTCTTTTATTCTGCAGTAAGCCGCCCAGAGAGTCACAGAAAGCTCTAAAATCAAACAAACTTCCTGGAGAAATCTCAGTATTGTCTCTACACTAATAAGCCGCGGCTCTCTTATGTTTTCAAAGGGGGTACTGCCCAGTCCAAGCCGGAAATGTTAAGGACTGAATGTGGGAGCTTCTGCAAGGGGGAAAAAAAACAGTGTTCTATTAGTAAGCAATGACCCCCGCTTGTAGAAAGAAATCCCCAAGGCTGCGGGCTAAAGATCATAGGAAGCTGCCTTACACAGAATCAGACGACAGGTTTAGCCAGCTCTGAGAAACTTTTTTGGAGTACAACTCCTGGATGTCCGGCCCACTGATAGCTAGGGCCTCTGGGAATTGTAGTCCAAAAGCACCTAAGGCCCAAAGTTGGGAGCCACCACTGCCCGAGGGAGCGGTGTTCAGCCCAAGCAGCCGGCTGCTTACTGACATCATTTGACTCTACCTCTACCTCATCAGGGACGTGGTGGCGCTGCGGGCTAAACCGCAGAAGCCTGTGCTGCAGGGTCAGAAGACCAAGCAGTCATAAGATCGAATCCACACGACGGAGTGAGCGCCTGTTGCTTGTCCCAGATCCTGCCAACCTAGCGGTTCGAAAGCATGCAAATGCAAGTAGATAAATAGGGACCACTTCGGTGGGAAGGTAACAGCGTTCCGTGTCTAAGTCGCACTGGCCATGTGACCATGGAAAGATTGTCTTCGGACAAACGCTGGCTCTATGGCTTGGAAACGGGGATGAGCACCGCCCCCTAGAGTCGGACACGACTGGACAAAAATTGTCAAGGGGAACCTTTACCTTTACCTACCTCATCAGACCGCCTGCAAACCGTCCCCTCCTTCCTATTCCTAAATGCCACATCACAAAGCACCGGGTGTGGCAAGAAAGGTATCGGCTCGGTCATCATCCCATGTTATGCACAACATTGCAGACGGAGGGGAGTGCTTTCGTTCATCATCTTCCTGTGGCTGTGGCACTCGGGTGCCGGAGACCCTCAAAGGGAGAATGTGGGAATGCTGTGCTCAAGGAGAAGGATGAATAAGGAAGGCAGGCTAGCTTCGGCTACACAAACCCCCCTCCTCAGCAACAACAACAGCCATTCCTTCACAGATGTTCATCAGGATGCTAAGTCAAGCTTCCTGCCAGGCTTCCAAGACGTTGACAAACGTAAACTGTTTGCAAGGGTCCAAAGAGACCAGAAAAGAGGGTGCCCCTGAAGGATAGGAGATTTAGTCTGTAAGATGGCAAATTCTTTCTTCGTGGTCCTGCTCAGTCAAAGGGAAAAGGCAGAGAACATCTGAAATGCAGCCTCGATGCGATGGCACCAACGCCAACCACCCATCTGCTCAAGGAGAAGGGAGAGGGGATGAGACTAAGCCAGCGAGTAAGGAATGGGCTCCCTGCATCCTTCGTGAATATAAGGGCTGACATTTTGGAAAGCTGCATGTTTGTTCATCAGGATCAAAACTTGGAAGGAGGGGGGGTACTCCTCCACATGTAGGTGCTAAAATACGTTCAAACGACAGCACTATTAAGGCTGGATTTGGGGTGCAGGTGTCTATGACCCTGCTGCCTGGGGTATCCCAACCTTTCAAGAAAGAATATAGCTGATCACAGCACAGGCACACTGGAATTGTTAACAATTGCAACACCTTGTTAAGGAGGAAAAAGTCGTTTTCACACGCAGTGGGATGTAGCTGAAGCATCAACCTTGGCCGCTCTAAAGGCCATCTTATTTACCCCAAAGCAAATAGGTTGAAGTATTTTTCCCCAAGGAAAAGGGGACCCTTGATCTCTTAATGAGCTTGGCAGAGGGAGCTGCCAGGGGGTGTGGGGGGGAGAAAAACAGCATGGAGGGCATCTTGTCGCTCAAAACACTGCAGTCCCAGCACCCCGCCAGCAGATGGGCATTATGACACAGCAGATGCAGCCTGCTGAGGTCTATAGCTGAAAATCAATACACAAATTTTTCTGACGCAATGGCTTTTTGGTGTGGTTTACACATGGAACACCTTTGGGAATTTGACCATACACTTAAATAGTCAGCAATAAGAGGTTTATTTTTGCAGCATCGTGCTTGACGAGATTACTAAAAGGAGGCGGTGGTTAGAATAGTACTGTATTGGTTGCTCTCAATTTCAAATGTATAAGCAATGAGAGGAAAGATATATACAAGTGGTGCCTCGCATAACGAGCGCACCATTTAATGACGAATCTGCATAGCAATCTAATTTTTTAGATCGCTAATGCGATCGCATTGCAATGTTTTAATAGGTGAAACATCGCATTGCGATGTTTTTTTAAACAGCTGATCGGCAGTTCCAAAATGGCTGCCGGGTGCCTAAAATGGCTGCCGCAAGTGTTTTCGGGCCCTGCCCTCGCTTACCGAGGGCGCGAAAATGGCGGCGCTATGGAGGAACTTCGCTCAACAGTGAATTGGGGAGCCATAGGAACGCATTAAACAAAGTTTAATGCGTTCCTATGGCTTTTTCGGCTCAGTTTAGCGATGTTTCTGCATAGCGACGATTAATCCGGAACGGATTAACGTCACTATGCGGGGCACCACTGTATATAGTATTTAAATGGTATTAAATATTCGGGATCTGACCTCAAGAACTGCAGGGAGATTTGTATGCATGCAACTGGACTTGCCTGTCCCGGAGCCTGACTGAAGCTCCTCAGATCCCCAACGCTGGAGCTGTCAGACGACTGCTCTGGTTTAAAGCAAAAAGGGTGGACACCTTGAGGAACAAAACGGTCTCCTCAATGAAGGGGCTCTTGGGATCCAGGCCTCCCGTGTTTATTCAGGCCTTCTATCCAGAGCCCTTGTGGAAATGAAGGATTATAAACGACTTAGTCACTCTCAATTACTGGGCAAGCACATGCTGTTGTAGCCTAAAGGCTAAGGGTGTTGAGGCATCCTGTCTCAATCTCACTGCACCTACTAAGCCAACAGCTGGCCTTAGGCTAGGCATCATGTCTGAGCCTCATCCATGCTTCCCCCCCCCAACAAGACCTCTCCCATCTGAGAAAATAGGGATCACTGACACAGTAGGAGTGAAATTGTTTCAACACTCGAAAGGATATTACATCACAGTTCACAAGGGAGCATGAAAGAAATGCCAAATATTATCGGAGCAGGACTTCTACTCCAAGGGAACCCCGGCTCTTGTCATTATGTTGAAAGATGGTCTTGGAACCAGTTGTAAAGTGAAGTTACTAGCCCTGAAAATGACAGAGGTGAACCTATGAGTCTCCAGTGTTTCAAAGACAGCTCCCAACCTTCTTTTTGGTTTTATAGTTGTAAGGTAAAGGTAAAGGTTCCCCTTGACCTTTTTAGTCCAGTCATGTCTGACTCTAGGGGGCGGGGCTCATCCCGTTTTTCAAGCCGTAGAGCCAGCGCTTGCCCAAAGACAGTTTCCATTGCCACGTGGCCAGCGTGACTAGGGAGCGCCGTTTTAGCTTCCCACTGAGATGGTACCTATTTATCTACTCGCATTTGCATGCTTTTGAACTGCTAGGTTGGCGAGGAGCTGGGACAAAGCGATGGGAGCTCACTCTGTTGCGTGGATTCAATCTTACGACGGCTGGTCTTCCGACCCTGCAGCACAGAGGCTTCTGAGGTTTAGCCCACAGCGCCACCACGTCCCTCTTTATAGTTGTACTTCTCACTTAATCACTCAAGGTACCCGCAAGTCCTTCCAGTCTCAAGAGTTTGGAAAAGTTATTTTTGCTCTGTAACATCCAAAAAAAAACCATTAAAAAAAAGATTTTGCCACTGGGAGAGACAGTCCAAAAAGGGATATTTCCAAGCTCAGTTTTGTGCTGGTGCCAAAATGTTTAAATCCCACAAGCCTTTTAAAACTCAAAAACTAAACTAAAATCCCAGAAGTCTTTCAAAGTAAAAGCTAGCAATCTCAAAAGGAAGCAGATAACACTGGGCTCGAATTTACACCTCCAACACAAAAGCCACCCTGCTGATGAATCAATGTCCTTGTTTTTAAAGGCCTGGACGCGCACTGCTCGGCCTGTAGCTGTTTGACAACCAGGCTGTCAGCCACGCTGTTCTACTATGGAGGATATCGGCCTAGCCCAGTGCACAGATCACTTATTCTTTTGGCGCTCTCTCTCTCTCACCTCTTTCCCCGTCAGGACGTGCCGCGCCAACTTGACCTTGGCGAAGTTGCCCTTGCCAATCGTCTTCAACAAGCGATAGTTCCCGATGTGAGGCTGCTCATCTGCAGAGGTAGCGGAGGTACGGCCTCGTAACATGTTGGACTTTGTGCTGGGCTTGGACTCTGGATGTCCCAAGGCCGGCTGAGAAGATAGGAAAGGAAAAAGGAAGATGCGTTACGCGTTTGTTTTCGTTTCTGGAAAGTGCAAGGAAGTCCATGTAGTCTCTCTCTCTCTCTCTCGCTCACACACACACACACACACAAAACACCTTCCCATTTGATGCAAGTCAGAAGGAACATTACTAATGCTCAACCAGAAGTCATGCAACGAGGGCACAGAACTTACTCATCCGCAAGCGTATCATGTGAAAATCTATTTGATTTGTACAACACACGCCATACAACAGAGTAGAGTGAATAAAAACCAATGATTTTTTTTTAAAAAAACCACACTGATTTAAATAATTATTTAAATTAAAATTTTGGTTTGATTTTAAATCAATCTGATTTAAATCAAATCCGCCCTGCTGCAGAGTTCAGCATTTAAAAACCCACAGAGTTGTCCTCACTTTGCAGAACCATCTGCACTCCACCCAAGCCATGCAGCTGAGCTGCCTGCAATATTATGGGATAGCCTGCCAGGCAAATGAAACTGTTAGCAACCCCCAAAATTCAACTGGGACAAGTTCTGGGATGTCATCAGATCAATGAGAGGAAGCCACACTGCCTTTGCTGACACTGGCTGCTTGCTCGCTTAAAATAAGGGATCCCTTTGTAGACTGCTGCTCAGAAAGAATAGTTGGGCGGGGGTAGAGGAAGGGTACCACGAATATACTGTAAGACAGTGAGTTCCAAGACACCGTCAGCCAATGGTTAGTTCAAAATCCAAACGTTTCACAAACGTGCCCACTCCCTTCTGCTTTTTCTGGTTCAGGATATTTGTCTACAAAATTGGGGTGGATGAAACTCAATGGTTTTTAAAATCAAACTGAGCTACCATCACAATTCAAATTTTTTTAAAAAATCATTTAAAATTTTTAAATCAAACCTACCCCCCCCAGCAGAAAACTTTCTGTTTTGTTTGTATTGAATCATGCCCACTGAAATAACACAATGCAGATGCCCGAACCCCAGGGCAGATGTTGAATTTTCGAGACAGAGACAGAGAGAGACAGAGAGAGTGCAAGATCAGGCTTCGTGTCCCGCACAGCCTTTACTGAATCATGCCCACTGAAATAACACAATGCAGATGCCCGAACCCCGGGGCAGATGTTGAATTTTCTTCAGTGACCCTTGCAGAACGCAGGCAGGCCAGGGAAAAAAAAAACACAAAACAGATAGCTCTTTCCCCTCCCTGCTCTGGATCAGTGCCCCACACTTGGCTTGTTCTTCAAGGACGCCGTGGGCTGTTGCTCTCTTGAGTCAACCGCAACAGCTGAGCCACCAATCCAAAATGCACCCAAGAGGAGCAGAACCGAATGCGGCGTCGGCTCATCTATAATTTACACCCAGTTTGGGCACAGACGGATGAAAAAGAAGCACTGACAGAAAGACCAAATAGCTGTATCTCAACTCTTGAGAGCATTGCTCAACGAGTTGCACAGGAATGTTCCGCTGATCATCAAGCATGCCAGTCTCTAGTCAAGCGCTCCTGTGGGGCATCTGATGGGAACCGAAACAGGTAGTGCAAGAAAAATGGTGAAGCGGGGCCCTTGCAAAGAGATTCCTGGGTGGTGAAAATAGGTGAGGCTAAGGTTGTTTGCACTAAGTAATTTGACTAAAGTTGTTTGCACTCCTTCAAGTGTGACTCTGTCTATAAGAATGGCTACGCTTCATCACAGAACTGGATTCTACCCTGATACACAGTTGGGAAGGGGTCCATAAGAGCCAAAGCTGGTTCCCCCAGATCCTCTTGATATTAGCACCCCAAGCCATCATAGCTAGCTGTCAGAGATGCTGAGAGATGCCAAAACATCTGGAGGCCAAAATGTGAGTAATACTGGTCCAGCCCAACCCCCTGTTGATGTGGGGAACTCCTGATACATTACTCCAGATACATAGCCATTGAAGGCATGCAAGTTTGTATTTCTTGGACTACAGCTTCCAGAAATCCCTAAGCAACTTGCTTAAAAAATCTTTAATGAAGGAGAGTCCGCCATCTTGCAGTTTTTTAGTTTCTTGGAGTGACATCCTCCTTTTAAAAAAACTACGCAGTTATCCAATAAAGCAGTTTCAGAATACTTCTATGGTGGAAGCGCAGTGGTAGTGCAGCGGGCTAAACCGCAGAAGCCTGTGCTGCAGGGTCAGAAGACCAAGCAGTCGTAAGATCGAATCCAGGTGACGGAGTGAGCGCCCGTCGTTTGTCCCAGCTCCCGCCAACCTAGTGGTTCGAAAGCATGCAAATGCAAGTAGATAAATAGGGACCACCTCGGTGGGAAGGTAACAGCGTTCCATGTCTTAAGTCGCACTGGCCATGTGACCACAGAAGATTGTCTTCGGACAGAATGCTGGCTCTATGGCTTGGAAACGGGGATGAGCACCGCCCCCTAGAGTCGAACACGAATTGACAAAAATTGTCAAGGGGAACCTTTACCTTTATGGTGGAATCTAAGCAGCATGGCAATGAATACAACAGAGGGGGCCCTCAGAAGACCCCCCAAACAGGAAAATATTCCCAGGCCATGTGTTGCCGATCCCTGCTTTTAAGCATTGAGTATTTTGTGGCTAGATAACTTATACAAAGGAGTGGACAAAACACAGCTACTTAGTTATCACTGGATTACAAATTTTGGTTATAAACCACTGTGCAAGATTCTTCTAAACAGCAGAATCAGGGACCAACTCCCAGAGAGTCAGTGTTGTGCAGTGGACAGAGTTTCAGACTAAAACACAGGACACCTGGGTTCAAATCTTCTCTCAGCCCTGAAGAGTCACTGAGAGGTAACTATGTTAAACTGCTCCTCAAACATCTCACATACCTCAAAAACCCTATAAAGGTCACCACAAATTGGAAGTGACTTGATGGGACATAACAACATAAAAAAGAACCAATATCCATCAGTCCTAGGAAGCCTAGCCAATGTTGAGAAATGCTGACAGCTGATGTTCAACATCTGGAGTGCCATAACTGTGACTTAAGAAAATATTGATTATTCCTATTATCAGCCTGTCACAGAGGTTTGTTTGCTTCCTGGCACATATGTAACCCCATAAAGGTAAAGGTAAAGGTTCCCCTTGACATTTAGTCAGTCATGTCCGACTCTAGGGGGCAGTCCTCATCCCCGTTTCCAAGCCATAGAGCCAGCGTTTGTCCATAGACAGTTTCCGTTGTCACGTGGCCAAGGTGACTTAGATTCGGAACGCTGTTTACCTTCCCACCGAGGTGGTACCTATTTATCTACTCGCATTTGCATACTTTCGAACTGCTAGGTTGGCGAGGAGCTGGGACAAAGCGATGGGATCTCCCTCCGTCGCATGGATTCGATCTTACGACTGCTGGCCTTCTGACCCTGCAGCATACAAAGGCTTCTGTGGTTTAGCCTGCAGCGCCACCACGTCCCCTAATATAACCCCATACATGGGGCTAAATATGAATAAGGAGCCCCTTTTCACAGTATTTGGGACTATTCTTTTATCTGGAATATATGATGTCTGAGGCAACTTCCCTCATCTTCCTCCTTCATCAGGTATGTGGTTTCTGTAGAAATGCCGACTGTGAACATGCTAGATCAGAAACGACCAACCCACAGCTCTCCGGATGCTGCTGGATGCCAACTTCCTTCAGTCCCGGCCACCAAAAGCCAGGAATGGTGGACATTTTACTCCAACAACATCTTGAAGGCTAAATTCTTCCTTGCCGAACTACCCTACACTTTCTAAGAGCGATTCATCTGACCCCTCAAAAGTGCTCTTGCTGAGTTAATAAAGAACTTCCATGGCAGGCAAAGTCCTTTTTTTTTAATTCAGAGAGGCCTTTGGCAAGTAATCTGGGATGAACTGAGAAGGTGCTTTAACGGGGACGGCCCTGTCTTTTCCCTTACTGATGTGTTTTTAATCTATTTCACCTGCATGCGCTTCATTTCATCGTTGCTAGCCAGGTTCGGAAAAAAGGGAGGGTATAAGTCCAGTTACACACAAGCAAACTAACTCCAGAATGCCACAGCATCTCAGCTCCATAGATCAGGCAGGGCTAAGCTGTTTCCTCTCTTCCCCACCGCCACCTCCAAACTGGCAGCAGCAGAAATGCTCAAGCTGGAACAGCAAGGGCTGCTCTTAAAGCGGGAAACGCATCCACGCAAACCCACGGATATCCTATTTCACCCGTCTGCGAGCCGTGACAGCACGGAAGAGCTGAACTCTGCGGTCGCACGCACAGCTCCCAGACACCTGCCCTGGAAAGGTGAACAGGAAAAATGCTGACACGGAAAACACGTTGGTTGGCACAGTGTTAGAAACACACCTTCTGCTCCATTGCAAAGGCCCATCAGAGCTCACAGCAAGCAAATTACACCCTAGGCTTTCTATAAAAGTACAGTGGTGCCTCGCTTAACGACTGCCCCGCATTACAACGAATCCACTTTACGACGATCTTTTTGCTATCGCAATTGCGATTGCAAAACGATGGTCTAAATGGGGAAATTTCGCTTAGTGATGATCGGTTCCCTGCTTCGGGAACCGATTTTCGCTTTACGACCATCAAAAACAGCTGATCGTCGGGGTTCAAAATGGCTGCCGGGTGCTTAAAATGGCTCCCCGCTGTGTTTAGGGACGGATTCTTCGCTATACAGGCAACGAAAATGGCCGCCAAATGGAGGATCTTCGCTGGACGGTGAGTTTTTACCCCACTGGAACCCACTGAACAGGTTTCAATGCATTTCAATGGGGGTTTTAATTTCGCTTTACGATGTTTTCGCTTAACGGCGATTTTCCTGGAATGGATTGTCGTCATTAAGCGAGGCTCCACTGTACACCAGATCTATGCAGAAGAATCCGCTGTGGATTAGGATACTGGACTGGGTCTTGAAAGATGGATTCCTCACTGAACCATGGAACTCCCAAGGAACCTTGAGATAGGATCCTTGTCTTTCAGTCTGACCCACCTCACACGGTTATTGAGAAGATAAAAAAAATACTGGGGAGAATTACTGTAAAGTTGGCCCTGAGCTCACTGGAGCAAAGATGGGTTATAAATGTCAGAAACAAACAAGCCCACTAGCATGAGGGCTGGGGTCCAGTTGCCACCAAAGTAGCAGTAAGTGGGAAGCCTATGTTTGGAGACTTGTGTGATTGAGTGGCTCGTCCTTTATGTAAGTCTTCAACATGGAAAGTTAAAGAGTGCCAGGGAGGAAAGGGTTAAGGCTAGCACGCTCTCTGACAGGCAAACTCTCTATGTGCATGGAATTTTATTTCTAGAGAGCCTATTCCATCATCTGACACACCCTCCCCAACACCCTACAGCTCACAACAGGCAAGCCATGACTACCTCTGTGAGAATTTGGCCAAACTGATGCCTTCACCGCCACCACACAAACTCACGTCATGTTAGTCGATTCAACCGTTACCATCAATTGATCAATTTAATGGCGCACCGTTGCCATCATCATTATTAGAGATATCCAAATCAAAAGTTTTCACTTTTTGAACCTTGCTTGTCAAGCCATTTCTTCCCAACACAGCTGCTCCTGGGTTGTTTATTTTTTTAAAATTTTTAACAATACTGTCACTCTCTCCATTCTTATATTATTCTCTGGGACAGATATTTTGACAAGGTTCAAACACTCTGAATGAGCCATTTCCATTTAATGAAATCTTCAGCCAACTGCTCAGTAACAGCAAATTTTACATCCAAAGGGTAGCTTTTTCTCCAGATATTCAAGTTTTGGTATGTTCTCATAATAAGGAATTGGGAGAGGGAAAACAAGAAAATAGCCCTTTCTTCCTTAAAAGAGGAGGGGTTTTGGGGGGGAACACGACGTGCATATGAAATTATAAGTGGCAAACTCTCAGAAAGACACGTAAGCTTAAGTATTGCTAACAACAATTTAATCAATTTCTCAATTCAAAACGACACTCAGTGAACAAAATTTATCGAGAAAAAAGTCAACCCAGATACAGTACCAGAAATTATATGGTCAAACTGTCTATGCTATCCTAAAAGGGAAAGTTAGCTCGGATCCCTCCTTTTGCGAACACTCTGATTTAATCCAGCCCTCAAGAGATGTGGGAAGAAAACATTTAGCAATTACAGTGGCGAAAGCCACTTCAATCAGTCAACTGCTAATTCCTTTTGCCGGCATGCGTCATTAGATGCCGCGATTTACAGTGAGTTGGGAAGGATATTGCCCCATAGCTTCTGAGAGGGACACTCATAATTCTCTGAGAAAAGTCTAAGAGTTCCTTGTACAGTATCTGAGAATACTCAATGCCTTCCCCTCTCTTTGGAGCAGAAATTGGGAGAGGGGGGTCTATGGCTTGAACACTCCTCTACTCCCCAGGCAGGGAGGAAGCGGAGGGACAGGTTCAAAAGTCTCCACATTCAACATCTTGCCAACTTATCGCAGATTATTACACGCTTTTGCTAAAATTTGATCTCTTGGGGTTACTGAACTGTGCTCTTAATTCTTAAAGCAAGTGCAGAGATGGTATGAGGTCAAGACCAACGATGAGTCCCCCCCTTTGGGTACCACCCCAGGTAGGGCTGGTGTATCATTTTCTAAACAGGACTCTCTCTATCCACCAGAAAACAAGCCCAAAACATCACTTTTCTTACAGACCAGTAACTCTCTAGAAATTCTGTACTGTAGATCGAATCCCACGAGCCAAACCCTCTGAGACAGAGACTTACTATGCCCATCGTCACAGGCACGACGAGTCTATTTCCTCCACTCATGAAACGCCGCCAGCTTTGCCACCTCTACCGGGCAGTGCCTCCTCCGCCTGCCACAATGTCTTCAGCTCCAGATGGCTTCCTGCCAGCCAGGGGTGATCCACGGATCCTTCCACAACTGGGGGGGGGGGCAAAGACGGTACCCAGCTTCCGAGCGCCTGCACCGTCAGCTAAGGGAAAGGACCCGATCCAAAATGACCGCAGACAAATCTGAGAGAAGAGCCGCCTCGTGGAACTGAGACAGGATCTGTCGTTTTTTTCCCCCCTTCTCTTTGGGCAGAGGCAGCCGGTGTGTCTCGCTCCGTCATCCGCCAGCCCAAAGCGAAACCTTCCCAAGGAGCAAAGTACAGCAAGGCAGCCCTGAGGAAGGGCACAGCTTCCTCATCCAACCGGTGCCTAGGCTCCACCTCTGATACCTGAGTGAGGCAACACCTTTCGTAAGTTTCCCAAGTCACCGAGCCAGAAAACACCTGGGCTGTTAGACAAGTCCTCCGAGCCGGTTTTCAAGATAGGGGTGGAGGGGAGACGTGTCTTATTTAGAGATATCAGCCACCCACTCCAAAGAAAGAAAGAAAGAAAGAAAGAAAGAAAGAAAGAAAGAAAGAAAGAAAGAAAGAAAGAAAGAAAGAAAGAAAGAAAGAAAGAAAGAAAGAAAGAAAGAAAGAAAGAAAGAAAGAAAGAGAGTCCTTGAAATTTAAATAATTGAAACAGAGAGTTTGGCCGATCCTTAGATTCAATCCACACCTGACGGAAAGGAAATCTAACTCATAAACAGCTAAACGGCTTCCTCCACCACCACTACCACCTAAAAAAGGTAACAGGAAACCTACGTAAGTTGAGAGAGAGAGAGAACAAATAGATCAGACTCTCCTTGACAGGAAGCCGCCAGCCCCACCCAGGCAACGAGCAGGCAGGGCTTTTAGGGTAGTTGTTATTTATTTCTTTTTAAAGAAACGAGTGAAAGGGAGGAGAAGCCTCGGAACACCTTTGAAGGGATCGGGGAGCACAGTTAGGTGAGCAGCTTCTAGCCGTGTACTTCCGAACAGAAAGAGAGACAAAATTCAGCACACAGAAAGGTTGAACGATGAAGCTGGAATAAATAATGCACCTTCGTATAAATCCTCAAACCCCTTCCCCACAACGCACAACATGATTTATTCAGAAACTGTTTGCGCCAGCTCCTCCAAACATGGGGAAAGCTTCTTAAATCAGCATCTCCGCCTTCCGGGAGTTCCAAGAGACACTGCCTGCATTTTTCTGCCCAGCATGTAATCATAAGGACTAGGCACTTGAAAACAAACAAAAAGAAACTCGAAAGATGAACACCTGTGGCTAGAATAACTTTCAATAACTTTCTCGAGTTCTCACAAATCTGCAGGATTCCTCATCTCCCTCAACAGCCACCTCGGGATCTATGTGCCCAGTGTTTTGAAAGATGTTCTAACTCCAGATACCATCCGGCCACAGATGCCTGGTTCTCGTTGTGGTAGCCAAACACAGTTCAATTTTGCTGTGCACAAGCTCAGTGTATGGGCACAGCAGCTAAGGGGTTCAGACAAGTTTTTTCTCAGCCAGGGACTTCCAGAGGCGTCTGACAAAAAGGTAGATCAAGGCCCACACGCAGAACAGGTAACCAGGGAGGTACCAACTTTCCAGAAACACATCTGTTGGCTAGTCCATAAGGGCAGTGTTTCCAATGCGACATGAAAGTGGTCACAGCTGTGAAACAGGCCACACAGCCACAACACAGTGCTGCAACGCATGGTTCAAGACTAATGTTCCCTGTAATCTTCATCCCAGCTATGCAGGCTCCTCATCCATCTGCGTGCCCCCCCCTCCGAGGAGGCAGGGATTCATCCGAACTGCAACGCATGGTTCAAGACCAATGTTCCCTCTAATCTTCATCCCAGCTACGCAGGCTCCTCATCCATCTGCGTGCCCAACCCCCTCCGAGGAGGCAGGGATTCATCCGAAACCGGAAAGGAAACAGGTGTCAACACCAGCTGCCTATGTGCGGTGCTGACAGAGCTCTTGTGCGCACAACTCAGAGGGAATGTTGGTCAAGACTGCAGAAGGGGACCAGATACACTTCAAGCTCATTTGCCATCTCTGTGAAAACTATGGAAACTGGCTTTCCATCACCAGGAGCAACTTTTCTGATATAGTGCAATATGACCTGCTCCGGTTCACCCCAACTTTGTTTATAGCATTTGGAAGGCGCGCACATCTTCAGACTGAGATCTAAGAAAAAGAGAGCCAGATTCTGCACACAGATCTGTCTTTAGCTGGTGGTCTGTCTCAATGACTATAATCAGACTGTCCTATCTCCGCTTACTGAGCCAAGATAACCAGAAGCTTTCTTTGCTCATCGGTAGAGCAGAAGACATCCAGGAAGTCATGAATTTCCCATTTCACTCAATGAAGGAACCAGGATTAACGGCTTCAGAACAAGCTGGGATCTTCACCAACGCAAAGCAAGTTCATGCGTGCCACTTTTCCAGAACAGGGGTGGGTAACCTTTGGACCTTTCAGGTGTAGGTGGACTGCAATTCCCATGAGCCCTAGCCGGTGATGATGAATGAAGAGTAAGTACAGTGAAGAGTCACAAGCCGCCCATCCCTGCTTTATGGACGAGTCGTCATGGTTCCCCAAACAAACAAAGGATAACCAAAAGAAGAAAGTGAAAGAAATGATAAAAGGTTTCAGATAGAGAGAAAGGGAAGAGTACATCTCCTCTAACATGATGCCTCTCCAAAAGCAGATGCTCTTTACCTGTCTGGGACTGTAACTCCTATTATCCTCTAGCAAGCATGACTAGATGGGGGAAGAGTATGCATCTTTAAAGGACTTCCTCAACTCTTCACAGTGGCGGCAGGAACAAAGTTGAGGCCATTGGCCCATTTAGCACCCTTCTGCCTCATTAACGAACATGAGTGGAGACTAAGACATGCAATCCTGCCCTAAGGCAGCTGCCCAGAGGATGAATCAGGCCTCCCCTGAAGTCTCAACAATGGCGTTACTTGACTGAAGGAGACACTCCGCCCCATATGCAGCACGGGGGACCTTCCAAACAAAATTCTGCAAGCATTTCTCCTCGCCCCCCGATTTTCTTCTTTCTAACTGGGTTGCTCCAGAGAAGATATTCGTTGGAAATACCATATTTTTCTGTGTATAAGACACCCCCATGTATAAGACGCCCCCCATTTTTCTAACCTAAAATTAAGAAATTTAAGTGGGGCTTAGCAAGTGTAGGGGGAAAGGGATCAAAGTGCTGCAGGATCGCTTTGATCCCTGCTTTCCCCTCTACTTGGTTTTTTTCTCTCCTCAGTTTACTTCCGTGTATAAGATGACCCTCAATTTTCAGTCTAAAGATTTTAGACAAAAGTATAGTCTTATACATGGAAAAATATGGTATTTCTGCTTCTAATGTAGATAGATGGCTGTTGAAAACTTATCACAGTTGGGTACGTGTCCGAATGTAGTAGCTGCCTTATACCAAGCCTGTCCTGGCAGTAGACCTTTCTCCAGTCTAGAAATAACAGCAATTGGGCTTCGGATTTCCTCCAGGGCACAGGCCATCCTCTTTGACAGCAAAAGTAAAAGGATTCACTCCAGAAGTGGAGACATTATTTTGCTATTCTGTTGGAAAGATTTTGGATGTTGCAAAAAGAAAGGAAATTATCCAAGATCTGATTTGTTCACATGCCAGCTCTTGGCCATCATAATTCCCCCCTTGCTCTTCCTCAGTTTTTTTTAAAACAAAATATTTTATTAACGCAAATCAGAAATACTTTTCCTCTGCAACCAGCTTCAAAGTTATTCTTCTCCTGACAAGTTACAAAGCTCTGGAACTTCCAGAAAGTGTGTTTAACTTTTCTGGGCTCTTTTGCTATTACATTTAATTGCTAAAGTGACCCGTGGATGGCAAAAAGCAAGCAGAAACAGAGACAATGAATAATTTGATCTTTTAAATGTAAGAGCAAAGATCAATACCACTTATGTAAACTAAAAATAATAACAGCAACAAGGCAATAAAAGCTATTAAAAGCTATGAAAAACCGCTAAAATCTTTAGTGAAGTGACCTCGAAAGAAAAGTCAGAGACTCCGCTTACAAAAGATCACTTTATCCCACCCCAGTCACTGTCAACGTTTGGAAATAAGGTGTTAAAAACCAATGCAAACGAATGTAATTGGTAATTTCCAAACTCTGACAAGTTACTTCCTTTGGTAAAACTTGTGCAACTCAAGGGGATAATGAAGTTATATTTCACAAGCAATACAATGCGTGAGACACATGTAACAGACAATGTAGTGACCTAAGCAACACAAAAACGGATCCAAACAATCTGCAGCTTTAACAGTAATGGAGTTGAAGGGGGTTCCATCAGGTGACATTGACAGGTACCATCGGTGGCAGATTGTAGCCCTGTGATGAGTAGGGTGGCTGGTGTGACGGAGGATGCTGGCAGCGACAGTGACAGCAGTCAATGGCGGGCGTGGTACTCAGGAGTAACAAGTTGAACCAGAAGCAAAGGTTGGGTCCTCTCTCTCTCACACACACATAGACACAGAGGCATTCACTTCGCTATTCACCCCCAACCTCTTACCTGCTGCTTCCCCCCACCCCACCCCACCCAGCAGACCCAGTGAGGGTATTTTGCAGAAAGGGAAAAACAGGCAGAGCCTCTCCATCTCCGCTAGGGAGGACTGGCAGGAATCGGCTGCCTAGGGCAGTGGTCCCCAACCTTGGGCCTCCAGATGTTCTTGGACTACAACTCCCAGAAGCCTTCACCACCACCTCTGCTAGCCAGGATTTCTGGGAGTTGAAGTCCAAAAACATCTGGAGGCCCAAGGTTGGGGACCACTGGCCTAGGGGATGCCAGATCTTGAAGTGGGGGGGGGTGAAGGATGGCCTGATTGCCCCAACCGAGCAGTCCCCACTGAAGTGGGCAAGATAGGCAGAGGCTCTGCACTTTGACTGGGTCCTAAAGACAACACGGGGGAAAATACACACATATGCAACTCACCCAAACATTATGTGTTGCAACAGTGAAGGTCCGAGGGGAATGTGTTCTTTTTAAACTGCACCAGATTAATGTTTCTATTACAATACTTATCCATGCATTATAAATATTAATATACATTTTATGCCGGCTGTATACGACGTCTTTAGAGCAGCCATTCTCAACCGTTTTTTGGGCCACATCCCTTTTAGGGGCTCTTCTCGGGTTCCAGGGCCGCCTGTCAAACCAGGGAAGCCTTTGGCTGTGTGCAAAGAAGGAGACGACCTGGGCAGGTGAACTGCGTCACATCCCTTTTAGGGTTCCAGGGCTGCCTGTCAAACCAGGGAAGCCTTTGGTTGTGTCCAAACAAGGAGACGACCTGGGCAGGTGAACTGCGTCCCCCTCCAGAGGTGCCGACCTCCATGGAGAATGGCTGCTTTTGAGGATGTCAGAGGACAGGATCTTACCTGAATGGGCCTGCAGTCTAAAATTTGACTGGGGGGAAAGATGAAGAGGAGGTGGTAGAAAGGGAAAAGATAGAAGACGAGAACCAAGAGGATGATGTGC